AATGACCACAAGAAGAAAAGAAAGAACCCAACATTAATGTTGGAAAATAATTAGGTTGAAATAAAATAATCAAAGATATAAATCAATAGCGGCTTGTGCTTGTTCCACAACCCCTAGTTAATCAAAAAATATTTATAATGTGGTAGGAATATAAATTTTCATTTTAATAATGTTTAATATTCAAAATATTGCAGCAATACTGATGTATAAGAAGTTATTCTGAACCAAAGTGCACAAACTAGCGCTCTCTTCAGCATCTGGTGCTCTCCCTGGTCTTGCACCATGTTATGCTCTTGGCTCCAAGTACTGCATTTACTCTATGCGTCAACACAGGGCACAATAGGGCTTTCGGTTGCACAACCAGCGGATGGATGGATGGATGGATGGATGGACGGATGGATGGAGGGGGGGGTCTGGTCGCTGAGCGCTGTGCAGTGTCTGAGGGCCATACCAATTTTCTGTTTTAGTCTGACAAGAGCTGTAACTTAATTTTATGAATTTTACATGATATTGAAAGTACACAAGTTTAGTCAATTTTGACAATATTGAATGCATTATTTATGATGGTAGGAGAATTTGTTTTTATTTGATCTTAGGAGTGTTGATTCAAAATGTACACTTTATGACTCACATTATGTGTAAAGTTAAGTCTTTTAAAGAGAGCCCCTTTCTGCCTCTCACGGTGGGTGAAATTTCCGACTGCAGTTACAGTCTGAGGGTGCTGGTATGTATGCGAGGATATGAAGAAGGATCTTTCCTCATTACAATATATACCAGGGGAGTGAAATTTTTGAACTAAAATTATTTTATTTGCGTAAAATGTGTATAAACAATAGTGCAAAGTGCTCAAGTGCGACCACCATATTTCTTTAATTAAGTTTCTTTTGTTTTCTATGAAATCTTACCATCAATTGTCTCAATGCTTAATTAATACAAAAGCTTAAGTGCCTAATGAAAATTGGTGCCTAATGAAAATTGATGCCAGAACCACCTGCGAAGGGAGGTGTATATACCTGGAATGGACACTATGCATACAATTGTCTACCAATGTAAGAAAAGAGTCACAGAGAGACCTGTGTAAAGACATTATCCCATTATGTTTAATCTTCTTGCTTAAAATTATATAACCAATATATTCATTACATTCCGGTTCAATCTGATCAGGGAACTATTATCTCACAGGATCTGAAGTGGAGGACACAAGTTCAATATGTGATGAAATAAGCCATCATTATACTTCTATCTGGTCAACAGAGCTTTCAAGCACCTGATGCCTAAACCTTTTGCAACATCTTCACTACTTGCAATGGGACAATAATTGAATTTGGTTACTGCATCTGGATGCCATACTTCACCAAGGACCTGACTCTCTCAGATAATGTGCTGAGGAAATTCTTGAGATACGTTCCTGTCCATAGAGATCTGTCATACCCTGAGATACTTGAAGCACTCCACCCATCAACAGTTATGTCTGGATTTTGCGGGGAGATCTCAATGAAACATACAAAATACTAAACAATCACTACAACTGTCCAGGTTTTGATGACTTCTTCCTTCTCAATACCTAATTCCACCTTAGTAGTCACAATTAAAAATTGAACAAAGACAATTTTTGGTGCAATCCATATAAGGTTTTTCATTGTGAAAAAGACGTTGATCACTAGAATTTCCTACCTGCCACTGTTGTGAATGTTCCCAGCATTCACTACCTTAAACAATGTTTGAACCAATTTTATGCTGTTCCCTCTTGATTATCATCTACCATCTTTTTCTTTTTATGCCATCTTTTTCGTTTTTCTTTTCTACCATTTCCTATTTACCAAATCGTAATTTTTTTTTTCCCCTCACATGTATCTGTGTTATCATGAACATTATCAGGACTGCCATGCCTGTTTATGTAATTAGTATTAAAGAAATGTTTCAATGTAGACTTTCATTAAACTTTAGTTTTAATTCAATTATATGAATTGCTAACATTATTGGTGATCTGAATTTTTTAAATTACATTTCCGTCATTCGATGGAGTTGCAACCTCCACTTTGTTGGGGCACCAGCTGCCACTGATATTAATTCAAACTGGTGATGCTACAAAATACCACAGACTTCCTTCTTTTCAGTCAGGCAGCCTTTTCAGGCTTTCTTTCTAATTGTTATAATTTCACAACTAGTGTAACTGTGTTGACACTTTTTTCATATCACAACCTCAGTTTTGAAAGAATTATTATCTTTTTAAAGAATACATAAAAATTAAATTTTTGTAAATGAAAAAATGAGAACAGCAATTTTTGGCGGAACAAGTGAAGAAAGTGAGGGTAATAAGAAAAAAGTCTAACAAAGTAAGAAAAGTGAGTCACAGAGCGGCCTGCATAAAGAAACACAAATCAACCCATTGCGCTTGTCTATGTTCACAATAACTATTTTAAATTAGCTATAGTTGAAGATTACAAAATAAAATTTTCATTTAAAAGAATACATCTTTTCTTTATGAAAACATATATTACTTACTTGGCAAGTATTGTCATCTTTAGCACCGCAATCACAAAAGAAATTCCCATATTTGGCATAGGTGACATCATGTCCTCGGTGGCAGACTCGTGCGCAGACGGTACACACACCTACTCCATCAACCATCTTACAGGTATGGCAATGGTACCAATGCTGGTTCATAAATTCTCTCTGAGTGATGGTAAAGGTACACAGCTTGTTGCACAGGCTGTCCTCATCCTGATAAACAAAGTAACATACATAAAACTTGTATAATACTTTTCTTCTCACAAGGCATTCAGTGTTTGTCATTACAGTTAGCAAATATATGCATTGAAATAGAGAAATTTCTAGTTTGCCCTGAATCGTTTATGAAAAATTCGAACTTTGAAACAAATCAAGTCTCCAATTTAGGATCTCATTTTTCAAGAAATCATTTGTCATTTAGGAAGAGTGAGAGGGTAGGATTTCTATTATATTTACTCCCAACACCAAGAAGATGCCTCAAATGTAACTTTCAGAAGAAACTGGTCCGTGGAGTACCATGCGGGTTAGTTATCCACAAAGTGGAACACGAACTAAAGAAATAGCATAGGTATTTCAGCAATGGTTATCATGAAAGAGGGAAAATGGGGAAAAAAGAATTCAGTGTCATGAACAGTTACCAAGAAACATTGCTCGACTAACCCAGTAATATTTTTTTCCTAAAGGACAAACTTATCACCACTCTTGTTCATAATTAGGTAACACCCACAACTATTCTTGTAGAGTGGTCTATAACTAATTGAATGGGTGAAAAACAGGATGGTATAAGTGACATTTTATAAATTCTGAGAAAACTATTTAATTCAATATCACTGTAAAAACATGGTGTTTTGTGTCATCATTAAAACCTTTGAGCATACAAAGCATAGAAGTTCCATAGTTGCTTCCTACCCTGTGGAAAGTTGAGACAAAAATTAAACAACTCCGATGACATCACAGATTGGGAGAAGACCGGTATCTTCATTTGTAAGACTTTAAAGACTTTCTGTCCCAATTTTAAACAAATTTGTGTACATAAGCTACTTATTTTTACATCGTTGGTAAACAAGTGAAACTTAAAAGTCTTTCTTTATGCTTCTGAATAATTTTCAATGCGACATACCTTTTAAGAAACAAAAAACAATGTTCATTGATGGAGTTTTTGAGTACATTTTCACTGCTATGCAACTGTATTTAAAACAAGGAAATAATATACAATTTAGTGCACCTAACTCTAGGACTAAAGCAATTTCACTAATTAAAAATCAACAACAGGGTTTATCTTCCCCTTAGCAAAAGATATTTGCATACAAAATACAGCTAAAATGAAGTTGGGAATTTTCAATAAGTGAATCATTGTTTCTGCTCCATGACGTCACAGGTTGGCAAAGATGTTTGCCTCAAAATTCTCTGTCCAGGGCGCCTCTATGTATTCTAAGCTTGAAGATTAAAACCAAGGTATTTCAATAGTTCATTAAAACCATGAAATTACATTGTTGGCACTGAAATATAGCCTAATATAAACATGTTTTTCTCAGAATTTATAAAATATCACTTATACTATTCTGATTTTCACCCATTCAATTATAACCAGAAAGGTCAGCAACATAAGTATGATATTCACAACTTAAAAACAAAATAATTTTTATGACCTACTATTAAGTAATCATTCTATTATTTAACCCAATATTGGTTCATTGAAATTCTTTAGACAAAAATATTATAAAAGCAATTCACATGGCTGAATTTTCACTTATGAATTATGAATTACATAATACAACATTCCTAGAAGATAAAAAAACAGAACTCACAGAGTCTTCTCCACCACTTTCTTCATCCTCATGACCAAGTTCATCAGCCCAGTCGCTATCCAAGTCGGGAGGCAATTCTCCTTCCCAAGGAGGTGAAGTAGCTCGGCCTGGAGCAGGTGGACATAGCGCACCCACAATGTCAGCCATGTACGTCAGTAGGAAACACGTCGCATCAAGCATGTGCCTGTGCTTGCCACTGCTGTGTCCTGCCTCCAGCTTCTCTGTTACATCTTTTTGCACTAAATACTGCTTACACAGCTCCAACCACGACATCACTGCAGAAAACAAATGTGTGTGGCCCTTTCCTGAGCCTGCATCTGCCAATGTGGCCATTACAACCATCAGTTCCGTAAAGCCCATGCCTTCCAAGGATGGAGACAGGATTTGCATTCCAATGGGAATCAAAGCCTGAAGAATGGTTACTGCTACATCCTCACTGACATTACTGAAAAGACAACAAAGAATATGTTGATTATCAATATTACCAATTTAACAAAGAACTTCATTTAAAATACAACAGAACCCTGTTTTTAAGAGACACATGGAGTCATGCATTTGTCTCTTATATACATCTTGTTTATTAAGAACGTATGTCAGCATTTCAGGTCAAACCGTTATACTGTTTTCAACTTGACATATAATATACAGTGAAACTTCACTTACACGTTTTTCAGAAGAATTAAGATATAAAATATAAAAGTGAGAAAAAATGCATACATGAAATTGAGTATTGCAAGCAAAATAAAATATTTTTACACTATCATTTTCCCAGTTCTTTAGCAATATCTACTTTTTTATTGCCACTCTCTTTAACGATTTTAAAATTTCTATTTTATTTAATATTGAAAGGGGTTGCTTTTTCTTGCCTCTTTTCTCTTTTAATATCACAGACAAAAAAAAAAAAACAGATAAAAGACAAACTAAACTTCGATTTAAAGTCAGCGCCTCAAATTACAATGCTGGTCACCTTGGAATAAATATCTTCAGAAAAAGGTCATCATCGGTAAAGTCTCCCCTGAAGTGGAGGTAGCGGACATGCAATGGGGACTTTGCTGATGACCTTGTGCGACTGTTTCACTGCCAAAACAAAGGCAGTGTCCTGCGTGGGCTACAACTGGCAGTGGCGACCTGCAGCTGGTTGCTTCATATAAGATTGATGCTACTTGGGATTCTGTGGGTCAAAGTACGGTGCTTTATGCAGACGACAAGAAGTACACGACTGCCACAACCCCACAGCCTGGCGACACTGGCTGCGCTGCATGGAAAAGCGATCAGTTTCATTAGCGGTTTGTGCCATGCCGCTACTGAAAGGCTCTCGTATGATGTTACGGTGAGCAAAAGGGCTTTCGAGGAGTGGGCCAATCAGTAAAAAAACTTCACTTATTGGTCGTCTACTTCGTTACTCTCTCCTGGACATGCTTTGACTATCCCTCAGAGCTAACAATCGCCTCCTGAGAGCTTCAAAGAGCATCCGACACAGAAATTTTTCTAAGTTCCACAGCTGTATATGGCCCGGGAGACGACTTTGCGCTACCACCTCATGAGTTTTTGCGGTAATGGCTAGTCAGCCAGGCCGAGTTGAGTTTCTATATTTTTCTATATTGCAAGTTTCATTAGCGGGAAATCGCCTCAGAGGCCGAGCAACAGGTCGGTCCGCAGGAGCACTCTGGAGCATGCTGACATGAGTAACATACAAGTTTCGAACTCTCGGCACGGGTCATCCTGCGCCTCACCAGGAACATTTGAACGTTATACGGTCTTAAAGAGACTTGTACTATGAACCTAGTGAATTATGCAGTGTGAAGAAAGTATAAACACAAAAGCATAACTAAAATTTAGCATGAGAATTTAGAAATTTATTTGGGGCTTACCAAAAACAAAAAGCACACACCCATAAACCTGAAAAATGTATACTTGAAAAATGGAGCATATACAGAGTTTCAGTGTACTTTCCGATGTTTAAACTAAGTTGTTGTTTTTTTTCCCACCATAAATCGAATTATTAAACAAAATGTTTTTATAATGGGAGGCCGCATTATTTGCAAAAGGATCAATCTTCACTCGACAATCCGCACAATTATCCCCATTATCACCAAGATGGAGGAAAGCTTGATATAAAGTACATAATGAGTTAAGATGATTAGTCTTAACCTTGCTAAATATTTGTACTTGCAAAATGCTTTTTCTTACATAACAGCAATAAATAATAGTTAAGAAGAAAATCCTAATACTCAATATTTAGACATTAAAATTCATACTTAAAAAAAAATTGCTTTTAAAATTGACTTTGGGGTAATTATTATATTTTATGCTTATCATAGTTCAACTATTTTGCATACATACGCAAGTTTCATTTCCTTGAACAAAAATGTTCTGAGAAAAATCTGAAGTTGCAAATGCAATCACATGGCAAACCCAATACTGATGCATTTAGCTGTTTAGTTCCATATGTATAACATTAAAATTCAATAAGAAAAAATAACACAAAATTAAATCCTTTATATTACTCGTGCAACTTTTCTTGAACAATGACCTTGCTTCCCCCTCTCTAGCACAATTAACAGTTGAAGGCAAAAGCTCACAGAGAGCAACATTCCAAACACATCTTCACTGGTGGGAAATAGAAACTATTTTTTTTTGTTGAAGACGAGAACTTATATCCATGATTTTCTCAAAAAAATGTAAAGAAATGACCGAAGCAGGTGAATATCCATCACAGGAGATACCTCGAACTCCTGAGAAAGTTAGAACGCAAATTATTGAGAACGTTGCGAAGGTATGACTGTTCTCTAGAGATTGACATTGCTTCATAAAATCTAGAGGCCAATTTTGTAACTAATACCCCCACTTTACCAGCATTTCTTCAATCCATCGTTCAAGAAAGGTTGGGTGGGTAATACTTCAATAAAAATCAACATTTTCAGCATTCATGCAGGGAAACTATTGCTTCCTTTTTAGGCATATTGACTGGAAAGTGTTACTTTGCGATACATATAACAAAATAGATTGTGCTGCATGCAAGAAGCAAGGAAGTTATGGCCATAAAACAACTGGGCACTGCAAACAAAACAAAACACTTAAGCGACTTGGCTACTGCCTAGCAAATTGAGAATGATCTAAAGGGTATACACTTGAAAGTTTCCATGAAGTCTTACTAAGAAAAAAAAATTAACATATGCAACTTTGAGGAAAGTGTCTTGAGCATACCTATTCCTAAATGTCAAATTTGACTCCTATTGTTGCTTCCTGTGCCAACATTTCATTAATACACTAAAGAAACTTTTTGTAGTACATCTCAATAACTTTTAAAAAACACTGGACTGCGCATGCACAGAAAGTGGGGAGAGGAAGGTTCCATCTCTCAGAGGCCCAACTTCCCTGCTTGAGGAGCCACCGCTGTCTTCGCCATTGCCGCTACCGCCTAGGTCTGAGCGGGTGGGGGTAAGACAGCCTGGCCTTAATGAACATCTCAAACCCTAGTGTGTTAAAGAATAGTATCTCTGTTTATCCTGCCCGGTCGAACGGCTTCTAGGTGTGAGAAATGTCACCTCGAGAGAAACGACATGTCTTCCCTCCTCCTTGTGTACATTTGCCACATAGGGCTCCTGTTTTGAATTTATCTCACTCAAGAGTCATTAGGTGTAGAACTCCCATTTTTTGTTTTGTGGAATTTTTGAGATTTTACATTTCTATTGATATGGTTTTGACTTCAACATCCACAAGTGTATCAGAGTGACCATTGAGAGGCCAGGCTTGTGAGATAGTGTATCAAGCTACACAGTACTTTCAGCATACAATGTAACAATTGCGAATGTTGTAAAAATTACCAGTGATACAGCAGGCGTTTCCAAATCAACTGTGTGGAAAATTGTGAAGGTCAGGAAAGCCAAGCAAGGGTCGACAAGTGACGACTCTCTTGCATAAGTGAGAATGTCAGCAGAATCGCCGTCAAGAGCATGAGAATGAAATTGCAAGAGTGAATCAGTTATTGTTGCAGGTGGTCCTTGAGTTCAACGGAACCCTTAGAAGTAGTGGGGGATGGCTTTGTCACACCTCCTGAGGTAAGCGACACCATGATTTTCTTTTTAAGTTGTCGAGCTATAGTTACATTAATAATTACATACTTTGACTTGTAAAAATAAAATCCCATTAACAAATATTCACCTGTTTTCTTTCACAATGTATGCTGTGAGACCCTGAAGCAATTGATTATTTTCTTGCAACAGGCTCTGTTGCTCCTCTGTAGGGCTGTTGCTACTGTTTGACTCTGATGAGGCCATCTGGGCTCCTCCAGCAAGAGGGGCTCCCTCTTTTGATGATCCATTCTCAGTGCTTGCAGGGATACTGTCAGCACAAGCAGGGGTGGCTGTGGTGGTGGTGTTGGTGGTAGTGGTGGTGGAAGTTGTTGCAACAGTAGCTGATGTGGTTGCTACAGTAGTGGGAGTACTAGTTGCCGTTGCTACAGCAGTACCAGCAGCTGAAGAAATAACAGCATTAGTAGCCTGAGAACTTGTGCCAGCGTTCGATGAAGGAGTAGCTGAGTCAACATTTGAGGCTGGAGGGCTTGACGAAGCAGCAGGTGCTTCTGTAGATGATGTTTTGACAGATTTCTGTTCTGGTTTAGCCTTCACTTCATTAGCAGAGGTTGTAACAGTTGCTGCAGGTGGCACAGAAGATGCAATTATAGGAGTGTCTAAATTAGCAGCACTGGTGGCTGGTCCAAGTATCACATGTTGTAACCAGCCTTGTAATAATTCAGGTTCAACGGTGGCAAGGCGTGACAAAGACCCACAGAGATGTTCCAGACTTGCATCACCAGGAGTTTTCTCAGCTGAAAAGTGAAATATCAACACACACTATATTAGTAACAACAGCTTCCAAAATATGCCTTGCTGAAATAAAATACTACAATATGGAATGTACTTATTCAAGCACAATTTATTTCAGATTTCAATTTATGAACTGGGTACCTGTAAACCACATAACCATTTCATGTTGCTTTTTGTTGATTCTAAATTAAAATAGTAATTGTTACAATTTCTTGAACAAAACATTTGACAATGAAGCTCAATAATCTCTGTATGTAGATTTTAAAATTTGAGATTTGATTTCTTCACAAGTTAAGGAAAATAACCCCAATTGTTGAAGAAACTCAGAATTAAGGAAGATCACTGAAAGGAAATGAAATGCATTCTTGGTAAAATGCCCAAGAATAGAATTTCTTTATTTTATCCCCCCAAAACAATAAAAACAGTATATGGCGAGAGAAAGAGATGACTAATAAACTAAGGACCGTTTGCTGTAAAAAGCATTACTGAGAACAACTACTCAAGTTGAATATATAGTTTTATGTAGTTAACATAAAAAATGAGATTCGTAAATTCAACTGAAGAAAAGCAAAATCGCTAATACAGCATAAACTATTACTGGCATCATTCAAAACCACTTTTTTCTAAGGGAACAAATTCACCTGAAGTTCACTGGATGGATGAACTGAATGGATTTGCTGACATAATATTTTGACACAGTACTAGTCTCTCACATGCCATTTGTCTTTAAATGTTCGCCAACTTCACATCTTGTTATTCTCTGAATATCGTTTCAAATAGTGTTCACCTTTCTTTGTATCTACCTTGTGCTCTTCGAGCTGACTGCATTCAGTTTTCTTTTTGTTGTGTGTCACATATTCTATGAGTGAGTTTTCAAATATTATTTATGTTGTGTTTGTGTGGTTTGTGATCTTCATAGAAAAGAAATGACAAAACCAAGAATCACAATGACAAGAACAAACAAATAAGCAAGAATTTATTTACCAAACAAAATGTTTTGCTTTGGGGAGGGTTTAGGAAAGACATTTGGCCCATTGTTTGTAATGCAAAGCATAAATACAGTGAGTCAAAAGTTTAAAGACATCCCTAAATTACACATCATTTCTTCCTGTCCTTATGCCTTTGCTATGCCATACAATCCTAGATAGTATACCAATAGTGCTTAAAGTAAGTTATCTTTCGATAAAAATCTGACCTCTCTATCTGTTATAGAACTGAGTTTATTGCAATTTTTGTTTTGAAAAAAATCAAAGGTAAGCCAAATTTTAATTTAAAAAATGTATTACTTTGGAACGGTTACTCTCAGGCTAATGTATTTGATGTTTGTATGGTCTAGCAGGAAAGGCACCTTTGGCCAGTCTCTTTTCTCAATAAAGTACCTGTGATATCTCTCTCACTCGTTTAATTATCTGATTTTGAGTCCATAGTGTTGTAAGCATGATTACATATAACTTTTAGAAGTTTTTATTCAGAGATGTGTGTGTGTGGAATGTTGAAGTTATTGTTCTCTTGTATTGCTTTTTTAGCATTTGCTTCTCTGAAAATAATGAGGTTGTTGTGCTATTGTTACAATGATGAAAGTGAAGGAGATTTTATCATTTCAAGTGGATAAAGAAAGAAAAGGTGATATTAATTGTGTGTAGAAGAACATTAAAGAAATTTTGAAAATTCAAAAGTTAGCAAAGGATTTATCCTCAACATGCAACACCAATGATCAATTTTGAAATGCTATTGAATAATTAAATTGCTGATTTATCACCATGACTTGGCCTGACAACAACAAAAATTTTATTGTCATATCAAACTGATTTAATTGAAGAGCAAGTTACCTGTGCTAAATAACTTGTTAAAGAAGCGCAGAACCATAGCGCCATATGGAGCTGATAAGGCGCCTTGAGGAGATGCAACAGACAATAGCACCTGAACCAGATCACGTCCAGTTTCCTTGCTGAAGAACTGATCTAATGCAAGTCGACCTGCAGGTTTGTCCAGCAAAGACTCCATGAACTTCAAACATTCCTGAAGAACCTTTTCATCCACAGCAACACTGAAATGAGATTTTAAGAAATCAATAAGGATCAACTACTTATACAGTATAAACTGGTAGACTCTGCTGATGCCTGTATCCTAAATAATATTATCACTGATGAAATATGTTCTCAATTACAATCTTTATTCATCGAAAACTGCAAATCCATTGAAAATTCTGATACACAGGACATCATACGGTCTCTTTCTGCCCACAACTACACTTTTTAGAATGGAAAAAAGGCAGTTACATCTGTATCTACATCTACAGACACTAAAAACATTTAAATCAAAAGTGAATCACATAGTATTAAGGGGGTAGATATAGATAAAGCAGTTAAATTTACACTAATTTTCCACTTTTTTCTTCATTGGAATCATGCTCCACAGCAGTGGAAAATGCACTGACACACAGAAATATCTTTCTTCTGCAAGGAAAAATTTGCTTTTAATTTTGTATTTATTATTTTATTTTATTTATTTTTTGAAAACTTAAATCTCAACCAGTTTTTAATGTACTGACTTACTTTTTCCTTGATAACTCAAATAATTCTGAAGAATTTTACAGATTCCTTAAACTTGTTGGAAATACTCAAGGTACAAAATCATGCCCTTTCATTTAGATCTCTGAATAAATAATATTTTTAATTTAAATCCAAAATTAATCCATTAAAACCCCTCTTGTACACTTTTCATGAGAGCCTAGGAAAATGGTGTAAATAGTGGGAAGTTTAAATAAGGAGTGATTATTTTTGCCTTCACAACTATGAATAAGGTACAATGTATTTAGATACACACAATCAATAAGGATTATAATATGGTTTAATACGTAGTATTAGATATGTAATAAACAATATTGCAAGGTCAAATAGAAATCTGACCGAAATTTGCAACATAGGAAATGGAAGGCATATTACCATTGAAGTGTACCGAATTTAAAATGTCGCAACAAGATTCTGCCAAGTCCCAGCCATTCCCCTGATGGTAGCCTTTGATGATGCAACAATGTACTCATTGTTGGATGAAGGACAAAGAATGGTATTTCTCTTGTAAGAGAAAATATGAACTTTACATTTTCCCTAACTTAATAAAAAGTTTGTTTTTGGCAGTTCGTAATGATTTCCAACTACTATTTTTTAAATTTATTTATGAAATAATAGACAAGTGGGTTCATGAAATGAATTTACAATTAAAAATGTACGGAGAATCCCATACTTGGATGTTTGAGTAAAAATCACATTTATTACAGAATGAGAAAGTGTGAAATATGATGTAAAATTAACAGTTGATATGAAGCTTTCTTATGCCTGAGTCACAGGAGTGATGTGTTGATGTGTGTTACCAAACGCTGATGATGTCAGCTGCATGGATGCCTGTGCACACAAGTCACTTAACGCATCATAGAGTAACACTATCATAAGTAAAACTGCACATGAGCACTCTTGGCCATGTGCATTGTGCCCACAGCTCAAGCCAGTGAAGTCAACATGTGAAGCCTGCCAGGCATCAGCAACAAAGCACGTTCCAGATGGTGTTGTGGCAAGCAGACTGTTGTAAATTGTGGGAAAATTGAAATTATACTATTGGAAAAGCGGACTACATATAACATGAATATATGGAAACTGATAGAACTGACGAGAAATGTAAATGCTGGGAGAGTGTAAATTATGAGAATGCAAAAGCAGGGTTTTACTATATAATGATTATTAATTTTTTTTTATTTTTTTTAATTTAACACAAAAACTATTTAACTGAAGAGTATGTTTTAGGGTGATTTTGTAGATAATACTTGGTTAAATGCATCTTAAAAATTTCATAACTTTAACGTTATTAGTTATTGAGTCATAAAGGAAACAGATACATACTGTAATTCTGGAAAACAAGTGACAAAGTTTGAATTATGAGTTTTGCTCACCTTACTTCTCTAATAGACGCATTATGCAGCGACTTGCTTGTAAATCATAACTTGAAAAGCTTAGCATATATCAAAATATTTTTAAATAGTTAACAGACTGGGAAAAAAATGTTTTCAAAAATTGAATTTTTTAAGGTTGTAAGGTGCATCAGCCCCATTAAATTAAATTATATAATTGTGAAATACATTGTTTTCTAAACCAATATTATATTATGCCTAACAGTCTATAAGTTGAATAAATAAAACTACTAAACAAAAAAAATAACATTTCAAATCAAAAGAGCTTTTAGAAACATTTTAGAATTTACATTTGCACGTGTCTGCTATTGCCTCTAATAACAAGGTCTACAGTAGTAAATTTCAAACATCAGTGTTTCTGATAAACAATGAAGTTCCCAAATTTGAAAAACTTACAAGTGCATTGTCCAAGCTTGTGATGTAAAAATTCCAAGTAAATGGTATGTGTGCTCCAGCACTATGTAGAACACCCTTTTTTGATGCTCTTCTGAGTCTACATCACCAATAACACCCTCAAGAGTGCGCACAGCTGTGCTGTGTAAATGTTCAGTGCAAGCATCAAGTGTCACTGGCACCAACACACTCACAGCTCGTTGGCGCAGATCACTTCCCTCTGGACATTTCCTACAATTAAAGATATTACATGATGCAGAACTCGGCAAAAAGCACAAAAACAAGCCAAAATATCAAGACATATAATAGAAAAATTAATTATAATGGTTTTATGTTTAGAGAATAAAGTGTAAAACAGCATTCTGTAGTTTATACTTACATCACATGCTCTCCAATGAAAGTAATTAATGAGTGTAATAAATATTTTAGTGATAGGTTTACACTAAATGAACCCTGACTTGAAAGTGAAGAAACATGATTACTGATAACATCCAAGATGTAGCTTTCTGCGGGTATCACATCATTGGCATATGTGTTCTGTAAAAACATTTCTCTCTTAATTCAAAATGCAAACATACAAAGTAAATATCAATAGAGGACAAACCAATAATTTCATGTTAAAATTTTAATTATTTTAATGAAAATCATTGTTTATTTTTCCTGCAATTTTGTGGAACAAAGAAAAAGAAATTTCAATTTTTAAAATTATCATAATTTTCAAGTCACAAGCAGTTCCATCTATTTGCTTCAAAATGCTTTACATATTTATGTTTCATTTCTTTAAAGTTTGCAATTGCTACGTAATACTGCAAATCAATGTCACCTTTTGCCTAAAGACTATATATCAATAGATCACACACAAATAAACAAACTTCTGTTCATAAATATACGTAGAATAATAAAAATGGGGGACAAACTGGGAACAAATTACATATTTTTACATATTCGCACAAAAAGGTGTTTTCTTTAAAAAGAGCATAATGAGTACTGTATCTCTGCATGTACATGTAAATAAACACATCCTCATGGTAATGAGTAACAACATACCACCTATAAGTACACTAAAATTAAGAGAAATTTATTCCAAATAAAAAGTTAGCCGATCCGGTGGCCGAGATCGCTAAGGCAGTAGTGCCATAGCGATCTCGTACCGAAAGATTGCGGGTTCGAGTCCCGCCTCGGGCATGGTTGTATTGTGTTCGTCCTTTCACCCCCTATCATCCATCATCCTCCATCTCTCATTATCAACTTTCTGAATAACATTCAGAATTGTAACTCGAGGATTTATCCTCTCCTCAAGGTGATACCTTCGACAGTCGACCATGAACAAGGCACTTAAGTCCATAATCTAATTTCAAAAACTACATAATATATACTCTTAAAAAATAAAATAGAAAAACTGCTCACCCATGGAAAATCACCAACTGCATTATCATTCCACTTTTCAAGAACTGTCCGTATACAGGCAGGAAGCAATGTCATTAGAGATGTAGCCAAAGATTTTGTTACACTACATCGACTAGAAGAAATGGCTAAAATTTCTCTGAATGCTTGGAAATCTTGAAGAGAATATTTGCCCACAGGTTCAGAGCTTTCATTCATCTGATACAAGAGACTGGACCTGAAGAACAAAGTAACAATAGAACTTATCATTCATTATTAATTTAAATGCACAGTGCTTCTATTTAATAATCATGAACATTTGAGGTTTTCACATCATCTGTCTTATGGATAGGGATCCATTAGCCCATCCTGAAGTTGATTTATCATATACATCCTTAAGCTCAAAAATGTTAACTGGAAATCAATTGAACTACTTTTCTTGAAACTACATACAGTTTGCTCCCAAAATTTGCATTTTATAGTGGTGGACTTCAAAATTAGTTTTACTTTAACATGATGAAATGCTTCACATCACATGTGGTGACATGTACATTCACTGTCCCACATGGCCATAGACCTTTGTAGAAGGGAATTTCTATAAAATTATATGAATCACTATAATATATAAATACTATAATTGAATACATCAAATCCAATTACACTTTTAATATTTTCATCAATCATATTAAGAAACATTTCTTCATTGTCATTCTTTTTCGTTTCAGTTTCATAAAACAAATTACAGTAAAATGTGCAGTAGTGGCTTTACACATTTTCCATAATTATTGAACAATAAAATCCCAATATGAAGAAACTAGTCAACCATCATTTTGTATGATCTTTTCACATGAAATATTGACATTTACACTGATGATATCAACCACAGTTCTTAAAGAAACAAGTTTGATAAGGACATTGAAATGGAACAAATATCACTTTTGCAGAGATGGGGTCTGGCCTGCCTTTATAGTACCAAATTGCAATTTTGTTTCTTTCTTCTTCTGACCTCTTTTCTCATTTCCCTCTGAAATGCCTTACTGATAAATTGTAATGATTTATAATATTTAGTTATTGAACTGTTAATAGTAACAGTAATAATAATTAGTACTTATTGAACTGTTAATACTTAATAAATGAGTCGCTCAGGTACATATTAAAATAAGTGACTTTTGTACAAATCAAAATAATTGGCATAAGTGCGCATGGCAATACGGTTAGCGTATCAAACTGTTGTACCCAAGTTGGCAGGTTCAAACCCGATAGAAGCTGTGGATTTTTAAGGGCAAAAAAATCCTTTGTATGCCTTCCTTCAGACGAGAAGTAAAGCTGGCTGTCCCATGTTAGTAGATTTACTTGCTTGTAAAAAATCCTCAAGATTAAATGACGCCTCTGAGCTAAATTCAAATTGCCTATTTCTCGCCCAAGAAATACCCCATTCTCTGCTAGTTGGTGAAAGGAGCATAGCGAAATTTGCGTGGTCAGACAGCAGAGCAGACCTGATGGCCCGAGTCTCGCCAAGTAAAATAAAGCATTCATTCAATTCAATCTGTCGCAGAGAAGGAGTAGCACTGCCCTTTACTTGAGTGGACTTAAGAAGAGACAACAAATATCAATGATAATTCAATCTTTATGTTATGACATATGCAGTTTGTTTTGTGTAAACAGGGGTGTCACATTTAATTGCTTAAAAACCTGAAATATATGATTGAATTATTTACACCCAAATGACTCAAATATCGAAGAAAAGATTGAGTGAAAGTTGTCATTTTAAAATAAAAATTTCTTCTGAAGAATTTTGCGACCCAATGAAACTTGTTCATGTGTTTTACATTTCATTGAACAGTATGTTAAAGCCCTCTCCTATCCTCCTCTCCCCTTCCCACTTTTCTATTCCACAACGATCTCAGAACTTATCGAGTTCTAGTTTTTCACTGTAATTGTATCATATACTTTAACGTAAATCCTTTAAACAATAACAGGTTTCTCTTATATTCATTCTACCCTAAGGATGGGCAAAACTTCATGTCACCAAAACATTGCTCAAACTTTGGTTAACAAAAAATAGAACTAAGATTATACAATGTGATTTAGTGTTTTTATTATAAACATTTGTTTATACAGTGGTGTCTGTCAAAGTAAACTCTGTGACCAAACTTGTATAACAAGAAGGAAGGAAAGACTGCAAAAAAGCATCTTCAAACATGGATCATGGATTCTCAATTCTACTAATGTAAGAACGTCAAATTTTTAACATTAATTTTAATTTTATCTTTTAAATTCAAATGGACCACTTACCTACTACACGCTATAATAGTCTCAGCAAGTTGCAATACATGTGGTAACAATTCCTGTGCTAGTTCAGATGACACTTTTGTTGCCTCTCCATTTTGACTTCTGTAACAATATTTAACACCATCATAGAATAACATAATATTCATTGCTCTTTTGCTATCTCTTTTAATATACTTAAAGCCATTTTCACCTGATGTTTCAATGAACTTCCTAACATGAAGAAAAGTATACAGATCTATGAAATTTGTAGATTTTATGACATTTCTTAATTAATTTTGAATAAAATCAAAATATCTTTTGTTATTAAATATCTCAAAATAAACTTATTTACAATACTTTATTTTTAAAAAGAGTGAAAATCTGAGAGAAACTTGTATTATGAAATTAAAACCAATAGCAGTGCATTAGTTAGGAAATGAAAATTAAAAATGAGGTAAATAAGCAATATTCAAGAAAATACAAAGAAATTATCTTTGCTTTATATATTTATACTGTGAAGTAATATTAAATCATTTTAACCTTTAGACTCTGTTTAGGGTATTTTTTGACCCTACGAGCAAATAATGTTTTGCAAAGCACTGAAAATTAATCCCAATTTCTTCCCCTTTAGATTTACTATTTATGTCCAATTTACATGTATTGTAAAGTGGTGTGTTTTTTTTAATGTACATTTTTTTGGGGTGGGGGTGGGGGATTGGAAATAATTTGATTTATATGTGGTTGGAATCAGAAATGCAACATTTGATGACTTTAATTATAAAAATAAAAATTCTGAAAACATGTCCATTTCCATTTTGTAGTATTATTTTGCAGTTTCTGAATGATAATTTGGGGTATGTCTATTATAATGGCAGCTTTGTTTGAAACATTCTTGTGCTAGTAAGATAGACATCTATGTATAGTTATGATGAATGTTTTTCTGAACACATTCTTTATAAAGTGAGATGTAAAAATAGCAACCAAATATCATCACTTTCTCATTGAATAATTCCAAATAACGTCTATGCATCAAATGCTTGTAAACCATTGAATAAAACATTTGTGGTCAAAGAGACCCCAAACAAAATCCATGAAAGTATTGGAGAAACAGAGTCAAAGGGTTAATGCTATCTTTAACAAAGCATGGTCCCAAATAATAAAATAATTCACTACAATACTCACTTTTGAGCTTCTGTGCTATCATTGCCAGCCTTGTTATCATCTAGAAGCACTTGTACTTTAGAAACAACGGCATCAAGGAGGAGTAAGTCAGCTAGTTGAGGTAAACTTGACTTTGGTACTAATGCATCTGGTTTCTGCATTTGAAGTCGAAAGTTTACAATGCAATTTTTTGCAACATTAATGTCATACTGCAGGTTGTTTACAGTTTTAGCAACATTTTTTAAAAGTGTTTCTGCATACTGAGTATACATTCCTTGTTTCACTAAGCAATCCTGAAACAAATAAATCTCGATTTTACATCGATCTTGCAAAGTAGTAAAATAAATAAATAAATAATATTGGGGAAGAGGAAGAAAGAGGGAGAGAGAGAGAGGAGAGACAGAGGAGAGGGAGAGAGAGAGAGGGAGAGGGAGAGAAGACGAGGGAGAGGGCGACGAGAGAGGAGAGGGAGAGAGGAGAGGGAGGGAGAGGAGAGGAGAGGGAGAGAGAGAGAGGAGAGGGAGAGAGAGAGGAGAGGGAGAGAGAGGGAGAGGGAGAGAGAGAGGAGAGGGACGAGAGAGGAGAGAGAGGAGAGGGAGAGTAGGAGAAAGAGAGAGAGGAGAGGGGGGAGAGAGGAGAGGGAGAGAGAGGGGGAGAGAGGGAGGGGAGAGAGAGAGAGGGAGAGAGAGGGAGAGAGAAGGAGGAGAGGGAGAGAGAGAGGGG